GCCGTAAACGAACTGCCTGACAGATCGCGCTCATTTTTGGCATAGTAATTAAGGACAGTGCTGCCAAACTACATAAACTTAAAATATCGAAAAATATACAGCGCGCGAATTTTAAATGAGACTTTCCGAAAGCTTTTCGGTCACAATGTATATACGTGAGTATGTGCACAACGTTGTCCGTAACAGATTTCATTAATAACTTTTTAATGGCTTTGGATTTTACAGCATAACTTTTACTATACACATAGATATATATATAGGTATATTTATGTATATATATATATGCACTTGTGTTACTTCTAATACATTTATGCACACACGTTTGTTGTCCTATATTATTTTTGAATTAAATAAGGAAAAAATAGCAAGTATCTCTAATACCGCAATTTAACTTTAGATTAACTTTACCGGTTACGATTTATGTACTCGTTTCACAAATCTAAATTTAAACAGTTATAAATTATTGCCAATTAAACCGACCAACTGTTGACCTACAGCATAAATGGTAAAGGAACTTCTTTCCCTACGATTTTTTCTTATTTTATGTCATAACGCACGACTGTATTTATTTTTGGAAATAAATAAAATTGCTACTATTACTAGAGAAATAGGGTTCCTTAGTCATGCGATTATAAAATTTTAAAAATGTTTATACAGAGGTTTATTTACCAATTTTTTTTTTGTTATAAATGGTAAACATTGAAAGCCACAATATGAAACTTAAACCCACTAATACCACCTCTTGGGAATGGTAAGTTGTAGCGGCAGGTCAGCAAATAGCTGTTCATTAACCTCAATTAGCGATTTTTAGCCGTTTTGCTACCACATTTTTCGCAAGAAACCTTAAGATAGAAAAAGATAGACTGGAACCATCTCATTGAATTTAGATAATTTAATAGGTTTTTTATACTTAGCGATGAACAGTGTGATATACTATCAAAAAAGTACTTCCCTAAAAACTTTTTTCCTCTAGAAGCCAGAGAATAAATGTTTTTATAGTTTCTTATATTATAGTTTATAGAATAGTTTCTTTTTATTAAAAGCTTAGAAATTTTACAAAATACAACATATATTAATATATTAAACATTCATTCTGTGAATGCCTGGCTCTGGCCTCTGGAAGAATAGGTTTTTAGGGAAGTACTTTTTTGATTAGAAGTTTATTAAAAGAAATGCGCAGTTTCTCTGCGTGGGTTCCTATAACCAACAAACAAAGATAACTGCAGTAAGCCTTGCAGTATTCACGCCGTCACTTTTGATAAGCTTTCAAGTTCTCGTTATGTTGAAAGAGGGTCATGTTGACCGGGAAGTTATACATGGCTTAAGTGTCTTCCATTTATTATTAGTAGCCTAGAAATAGTACTTCTCTACACCATCCTCTGTGAACCGATACTCCGAGAGATACATCTAAGGAAATACCAAGGTGTTCCTATGCCCAGAAACCCATATGAGAGTGATATCAGCTGCTTGGTTTAGATCGTCACTTGCCTCTCTTTATTTTTAACCTGTCTTTGATTTTATGATGAAGGATTAAAAGGCTTTAATTAACGTCTGAAATGGCAGTACTGCATGTGATTTCCCTTTTCTTAAGTAAAATAATGATTTTTAAAACTACTTATATACGCATTGACTTATCAGATAATTTTAATTAGACTGAGGCATGTAAATCAGACCCAATGGTCTTTTTAAGTCTGATGATCCATTGTGCTGAAGAAAAATCTCACACAACCGTTTCAACCTTTAATTAAATGCTATGTAAAGGAATGTTTTCTGGTAAGCAAAATCCTCTGGAAAGTAAAAGCTATAAATAAAGCTAGAGAGTCTCTAGTATTTTTAACCTATGTGAAACGAAATGTGTTGCTGCTTCTTATGTACAAAAATGCTTTCACATTGGTATATACATATATACGTAAAATACAAAAATAGTCTTAATTAATATAAATAATTCTTTAAATTTTCATTTTACACTTTTATGATAAAAAAAAATAAGGAAAAAAATTGTTTTTTGAAATAATTCTAAAAATCTTTGTTATAATTTTTGCCATGACATTTTGACATAGTATATGGAATACCTAAAAAAGATTCTCTAATATAGAGTTTAAATAGTTTTTAACATCTAGCTCGGTTTTCCTAGTTACTTAGTCTCACGATTAATATGTTACTATAATCCTTACAGCTAGAGCGCGGATATGAATAGATTAAAGTACATGAGTTGCACCATAGTCACCTAAAGGTTTAAATTCAAAAATAGTAAACCAGTTAGAAATTATAATTGAGATTATTAGATTAACATTATAAATATCAGAACTTGAAAGTGTTAAGTTGAAAAAGGGAATATTATTTACCTAGATGCATTCCTTAGTATTTAAACTATATATTAAATTATATTTATATTTGCTAAATTTTTTCTCATTTTTTCATGAAGCGAATCCGAAACGTCTTCTATTAAATACTTTATATGTATATATTTTATATTTCCCATTATATTCTATAGAAAGAATTAATAAGACCCGAGACTACATAGTTTTTCGGTTATTTTTTTTAAATTTTTTTTTTATTTTTTCATGAAGCAAATCTGAAACGTCTTTTATTAAATACTTTATATGTATAAATTTTATATATCCCATTATATTGAGGTAAATCTATAAAAATAATTAATAGTGCCCGAGTCTATATAGCTCACTGGGTTATTTTTTAAATTTTTTTTTATTTTTGTAATGTTCATACTTTTATATCGGTTTTTACCAGAGAGTACTTACTTATAGCTCTTAAAAAAAATAAAAAAAAAATTGGGGTTGCGATTGCTGCGTTACCCTTTCGAAGTAACTCGTGCAAGAAGTTATATTTTTATGTGCCTGTTGCATGCTTCCCGGCCATAATCCTGTCGTTTTACCAACTTAGGCACTCGGTTAGACCAAATGCTATGGCTGAGTGTTTTTGTCACTTAATTTTTCATGAATCATATGTCAAATATATTCTACTTGTTTTTTTTTTATTTTTTGGCTTGTTCTTGATAGCAAAATTAGTTTATGTCTAAAATAAGTAAAAAACTTCGTCATTTTAAGTTTCTATAAATTTTATAAAAAATGCAAATTTAATTCTGTTAAGTGGTTTCGAATAAAACTCTTAAGGGTTTAACTATTTATCCCATTTAATAGTAAATTTTTTATGTTAGTTCAGAAATTTGAACAAGTGCATTTCAATAAATTATTATCTTTCTGTGTTTAAGTCTGTGTTAGACTTAAAATAATTAAAAGTATTTGGGGTTTTATAGAGCCAACTACTTTTACAATATAGATATATTTGCATTACTGTCTTTTTTCTTATCTCCCTGTGAAATAACTTAAAATGTTGTAATAAATTTGGTATCTAATAGTGATAACTAATGTTTATTACAAAAATTTTATTATTACTAATTTATATTGATTATATAATAAAATAATAATACAGTTTCAGTTTAAATTGCATTATATTTGATGTCAGCTAAACCGAAGATTTGCAAACTTCTCTTCTATTTTTTTTATAATTGTTTAGGTATCTTAATTCTAATATTATTCTAGCCGGTTATACAACCACGTTTTTGATATTTCTAACTACTGTAGCCAGCAACTTAGGCTTAAGAAATATGTCTAGTCTCTCTAATACATTGGTTTCTAATTGATGGACTGCGAGATAGTTAAAAATGGTCCGTGAATCAAATTAAACAGGTATGATACATAGCTTGTAGTGTGACCACTAAAACCCCACTTATTAGAATATAAACACAAAAAATATATAGACTTTTTTATAACCTATATAATGTAACTATGCACTTATACAATTATACAATCATTATAGATTATATCAGAGATTAATACAGCATATTAAAATATTCATACAGTTTATTAATCTTAAACTTTGTGGTCCCTACTAAAAACAATAATGTTATACTGGTCCTCATCCAAAAAAAAGGTTGGGAACCACTGCTCTGATATATATTAAGATAAGGTTTATCAGCATTAATTCTTGGTCTTTTGTTTTAATAGGATGAGTCTATTTATTCTGCGAGTTCCTAAAATTAATAGTTTTACTGTTGCCGTCATCGGTTATTGGTTATTTTTTTAGAATTAATTTAATATCACTTAGCATATACTATTTTACAAATGTGTTCTACTGATATGAGAGTTTTAGTATAAAAATATGAACTGGAAGTTTCATATAAATTTTTTTGAAAGAATTTTTTGATACCCTGCCTTCTTATAAACATCAAGATGCTCATCTTGATGTCGAAATGTTATTCTATCTTCTTAAATAAGTTGATTCTTTAATGTACTACAAAATAAGTGATTTCTTAGTATGTGTCCAGATTAACTCAAGTCTTATATTACCGAACTCGTATAACATCTCAAAGTCAATACTTGTAAATATTTAAGAATGTTTAGAACTTTATTGCGAACGCTTATTATACAAATTTATGAAAGCTTTATAACCAGTTAGTAATAAAGCCTGAATTATATTAGCATATAGATATTTGGGTTATAAATTATAATAGTCTTGCGTGAAGTAAGGTAATGTTATCATTGTATTTAAAACAGCACTCTTAAGTGTAGTAATTTAGAATATCTATATAGTGTGTTTGTGCACTGTTACATTATTCTGGAATTCAAAACACGCAAACATAATCTAGTAATTTAATAGAACGCAAAGCATAGCTACTGCATCGATGACAGAATGCAAAGAGCTTAAAAAAATTATAATTATTAAGTAACTAGTATGGGTAAACGAAGCAACTTATTGAGTAATACAACCTAAAAACATTTATTAAAGTTTATAGTTTAGATTAGATAGATGACTCTACCGCAATAACGAATAATTGCATTATTTAGACTTCGTTATTTTTGGACTACTGCTACAGTTAGTAATATTAAACTTAGTACGAGTACCTTCTAGATTTTGTCGCACTGGAACAACTGCACAACCACTATATAAATTATATGTTCTTCTTCTCCTTAGTATCTTCTAAGCTTCATAGTATTGAGTATTTTAAAATCGTCGTGTGGGGAATGAACTTCTTCAGCATATCAGTGTTAACTGTATAATTTACTTATATTTTCTGCTAACAAAATTGTTAAGTAAATTTTACTTCAGTAATTTTAAATCAGTAAACCACAAAGAGTTGTAGAACAATTTTGCCCCAATAACAACCACTAGAGAAGTGATTTGGACTACAGTCATTCCCGATTATTACCATAGGAGTGATAGACCTAAGAAGAGACTTAACCCAAAAATAATATTGAGGTCACTAATATTGAATGTTACATTTGACATTTATGTTTATAAGTATGAAATGAAATTTCAATCCAATATTTTATGGGTTATTCAAAAAATTGAATAACCTTATTTTCGTAGTAGTTTCAGAACAGAAGAGCTTACTTCAGCGTTTAATAATGTATTATATCCTTGGTATTATGTTCGTTGAAACTTACTGTCTCATTTCTCCAAAAAATTTTCAAAGCATCTTAAAAATGAATCTGTTCTAATCAATTTAATTATTTTTTTTAATTGTTCTTTCAACTCAGTCCAAAAAGTCCATTATAACAGTTACTGGAAAAGGTGAGAGCAATAAATTGAAGCGAACTAGTTCAATGATATATTTCTTTCTTAAAACAACCTTAGCATTATAGGATCTACATTATTATAGACATATAATTGATTTTGCTTTGATTTGTATCGAATGTTTTAAAGTTAAGCTTAATATATGATTATGATTAAGATCTGTATACCATTGGATAGACATAAAAAAGAGGCTATGTATTACTGAGAAAATGTGAGAGAATAAATTATTGAAAAACAATTTCCAAGATTAAATTTTAAATAAAATTCTTGATTCTAAAATTAAATTAAAAATTTGATTTTTGAATTTGATCATTTTCTCACTATCTCACTTTACCATCTTTGGTATAGTGAGATATGTCTGTATCTCGCTTAAGAGTTCCATAATATACATAACTGTTAAAATAAACTTTCAGAACGCAAACAATCTGCAAAAGTACGCAAAAACAATAGTGTTTATAGTGAAAAAACCACACTTTGCACTACTTTAATAAATTTATATAGCTGTGGTTTATGCTTTTTCTAAAAATAGTGTTGTAAGCGAAAGTTCGTTTGCAAATAAATTCACAAAACACGAAAAATGAATAGCCAAAATTAAGTATTCGTTGCTACTACTACAGTTAAAAGTTGACAGAATTAAAGTCCTTACTGTTGTAGTCTAAAAAATTGTATAAGGTCAATTAAGCCTATAGATGCTTAAGCCATTGCCAATAGCCAATAGATGTAGTGGTAATTAATTCAATACGTCTGACGAAACTTGAATAGCCCAAATAAAGTATTCGTTGCCAAGACTACAGTTAAAAATTGACAGGGTTAAACCCCTAACAGTTATAGTCTAAAAAATTGTGTAAGATCAATTAAGCCAATACATGTTTAAGCCATCGTCAATAACCAATAGATGTATTAGTAACTAAGCCAATACGTCTGATGATGAATATTTAACTGAATTTAAATTTAAAAAATATTAAATGACCAAACAGACTTAATTATAAATATAGTTATGTTTCAATAAAATATATCTATTAAAATAAACACTGAAAAATAAATATTTGAATATTGAATAAAGCCCGGCAAAATTTAAATACATAAAATATAACTTACATGCCTTAATTTGAATGTACGCATTAAAATTGTTAACAGCCAAAGTGCCATATGACAGCATTAAAAATGAGAAAGAAAAAAAAACCAAATTACGTACAAAACACTTAAAAATACTAAGATTCAATATATGCCTTAAAATTTATAACAGCCAAAGTGCCATATGACAGCATCAAAAATGGGGGAAAAAAGAAGTACACTGAGTGTACAAAAACGAAGATTTATTTCATAAAAAATGTTGAAGTAAAAACGATCGCAAAAAACCAAAGTTGTCTTTTAAAGTATATTTTATATTAAATTTTTTATAAAAGATGATACGTATACGTATAATTTTGTAGGTAATTCGATACATTTCATTCGCTTTGAAAACCTCAATTAATCTTGTTTTTAACATCTTTTGTGATTTTTATTTGTAGTGCCCTAAATTAAATATATCAATCAATTTATTCAATTCTTTGCTAAGTTTAATATGATAAATCTTTTGTGTTGTTCCTTTTCCAGGTTCCATATCACCAGAAGACAAAGTTTGTCTAAGCGAGGAATGTGTACGGACAGGTAAGGGATACGTTAAGCAATCCTAACCAGGTAACTTTCTTGTCAAAAACATACACACACGTAATTTTTTATTTGTTTTTCTTTCTTTTTTTTTACAAACCTTAAGTTATCGCAAATATTCTACAATAGACTCATTCACTCATTCATTCACTTACTCATTTTTATCTTAACAATATCAAAATTCCATTCACACATTCTCAATCTGACAACAACTTTTGTACGTACGAGTATAATAAGAATTCCCTAAAAAAGTATTCCAAAGTTTCATTCAACTCGTGACATAATAAGGTTGGCTTGCCTCTTCATCCTTTTATTGAAATGGTTATGTGACAAAATCCAACAGATTCTATAACGTTTGTGACCATTGTTCCCTTGATGGGAAAAACTTATCTGCCGGCAAAATGTAATAGAACCAACAATAATAAGAAAGCTAATACACATACATAGTACGCAGGACTGTTCGCTAGTCCTATAATGTTAATAAATATAGTATGTAAAATAACAAAACGGCAACAACAATAGACAACAACAACAATATAGAGCAGAGTATCC